CTGAAGCAGTCGATGCCAAGCCCAAATGCCGGAAACTGAAATGCCTGGCCTGCTCACCATTAAAGCTGCTGGAAAATGTGCCCCGGCCAGAAGAAAGAGTCCCATGGGAGCCGCCAAAGAACCACCCGGAAAGAGGCAGAAGCAGGTTAGTTGAAACCACTCCTCTAAAAAAACACCTCCAAGATTGTGCTAATTTCTTCTCAATCCTGCTGATCCAGATCGGTGCCCCCAAGGCGAAGAGCCGAGCCTTTGCCGACAATCGCCGAAAAACCCAAATCAGCCCTAGTGAAACCACCCAACCCTGAGCACAGCAAATGGTCAAAGCACCCCAATCTGGTCTTATCTAGGGGGGCTTTGCAGTTATCTCTCCATTTCCCCGCAGACACTCTGATCCAATTCGACCGCAGGCGGGCTCAGAACAAAGTCTGCAGATGTTCAAGGCAGACCAAATGACGCCTGGTGCAAATAGTCTTGACCCGGGTTTCTCTTGGTATAGACGGCAGATTGCCATGGAAACCCAGTGGTTTGTGTACAGTTGGGATTGTTGGGACAAGTTTGCGGGCACCAGCGGTGTAGAAAAACAGGAATTACTAATCGGACTAAATCGAGCAGTGATTAGCCGCAATGTCTGGCTAAAATCCGAACATTTGACTAAGATTGCAAGCATTTTTATTATGTTTTCGGTGAGCAGTTTTCAAATAAACACTTTGCACTATTTACGGTTTGTTTTCCGCGATTTATCCCCCCATATAATATAATTCCGTTTGATTAAATAAACCGCTTTGTCAGTTCTATATTTAACAAGTTTTCAACGATATGAAAGAGTTTCAGGTTGGCGATCTTTCCAAGTTTCATCCAGCCGGTGTGAAACAAGCTATTAAATGAGAAACTTTTGCCGCCTGCTACCGCAGTTTAGGTAAAGTGATGGCATTTCTATATGCTGTGATCAGATGGACGTTTGGAAGTTTCCAGAGTTACTTCCAGTTGGGTTTCTTGCTGTACTTAGAACATTTCCCATTGTACTTCTAAGCTTGGCAAAATAAGAACTCAAAGTGCTAGAGGATAAAGACCCAATCGATTGATAAATGGAAAACGTTTCCCGTGCGAGCTCCAGGCTGGATAAATAAATAGAAAACAAGCATTTTTCCAACGTAGGACGATTATCAAGGTGTATGCCATAAAAAGCCCTATTTGCATATAAGCGGTAATCGGTAACAAGGGTGTAGTAGCTTGGCTAATGTTTTATAATATGAGTGGGGATCAAGAGCTGAACCTGCTTGATTACAGTATTAAAGCAATAAACTTTATTATTTTCCATTAGAGTGCCAATTACAAGCCGTGCCTCAATGCGGCCACGTTCCTGGTATCATTATTTCCCATGTGAATCCTGCAAAATCGCCCTGTATGTAATTAGAGCCTTTTGTTCTGAGAACTGACTGCGTTCTCAAATGAATCATTTGATGCATTTCTGGATCGGGCAACAATTTCAAATATTTACCTGGCCATTTGGTCAGGATTGAATTGTCACTACGTGGGATACGGAGTTGAAGCGAACTCTTTTCGGTCGAGTTTGTGCATGAATGAGGGTCCAGATCGTTTGCAAATGGGGATTCTGGAGCGATCGGGCATGAGAAACTTTGGGAAACTATCCGATAGTCGGCTTTGATTCCAACAAACTCAAAAGTCTTTGATTGCATGCTGTTGAGTTTCTCATTTTCGCGATTTTCCCGTTATTGGGGCGCCGCGGAAATTGTGGCAACAGCACATTCGAATTCGACTGGAAATTGGAGATTATTTGAAAAGTTTGCAGCGTTTTAGTAAAAAACGTACGATCTTCTTCATTAGTGGGTAGTCAAGGAAATTTTGTGCGACAATTCAGCTTCAAAAGCGCATCAACTAGAGCGGCAATTTTCGCCGGGGAAAAGGCCCGACCTCAATAGTACTTTGGGAAAAATGTTCCAAATCTGCCAGCCAAACAAGCTTTTCCTGATTAGAAGAGTGCGTTTTCTATGTAAGCAACGCAAAAGTGACCCTCAAAGTGGAATGGTTTTCAAGAAATTAATTATTGAAGTCGAGACTGTTCAATTTTGATGGATTGGTTTGAAAATTGACCGAATATTAGCCAAAGTCATTAATAAAACGAACTTTTGGCTCCCAATAAAAGGGGGGTTGATCTATGCAACGAGGAGAAAACTGATAGTCTAAGTGGCAGAGTTTTCCAGAAATTAATTGTTGAATTCCGGCCTAAAAAACCGCTCAATTCCAATAGTACTTATATTTAAAAATTTGCAAAAAATCAGACAGACCTGGCAGAAAAACGGGAATTTTTCCGTTAAAAACAATGTTTTTTCCCATGTGACAAGCGAACAAGCAATTGTGAAAGAGCAATAGTTTTTGGAGAAATTAATTATTGAAGTCCGGCCTGCAAAACGGGTCAACTTTCGATAGCAGTTTTAAAAAAATTTAATCGAAAAAAATCAGTCGACTCACCTAATTAAACGAATATTTAACGGTCGGTAAAAGAAGGTCTTCTTTACTCGAACAGCACAAAGTCAACTATTTAACTGGCGGAATTTTGTGAACTTCCAAAAGCCGGTGGGTAAAACCGCTCATTTTTCTCTAGATATTTACCAAAAATCAACCAAATCTGCTCTGTATTGCTGATGAAAAAGTATATTTGTTATTCAACGAGCAGCAATTCAAGGAAATTTGGGAGCAATTTATTGTTGAACTGCCGTCTGCAAAACAACTCATTCGTCAATGGCAGCTTCCAAAAATTCACCAAAAATCAGTCCAATCTGCCAATGAATAAAAACAACTTTTACTTGTGTATAAAGAGGGTTTTATCCGTGCAACAAGCTCAAATGTGCCTGTTTTAGTGTCAGGGCTTGGGACATTGGGATAAAAAATTCATAAAAATTCAACAAAATTTGTCAATGAAACTAGGATTTTCCGGTCGAAAAATGAAGCTTTTGGCTTAAATGGGTTTGGGAGAAAATAATTAATTCTAGCCTGCAAATTGGGCCAATTTTTGTCGGTTGTTTTCAAAAATTATCGAAAATTATACAGAGTTCGCATTGAAGCAAAATTTGCCATGCTCATAGAACGGGCTTTTCTCTATCTGGTGAGCCCAAAAGCTTCGCCACAGTTCGAAGGCTTTTGGAAAAATTCGTTTTTCTCACACGCATCGCAAGTCTAGAAACCGGCCCGTTTTGCGATAGCAATTTTCAAAAATTCATCAAAAACCAGCAAAATACACCAAGCAAACGCAAATCTCCTCGCTGGTAAATGAGGAGTTTCCCTATGTAACGAGCCCAAAAGCGTCCATATAAGTATAACGGTTTTGGAGCAATTACCTGTTAAAGTCCTGCAAACGTGCAATTTTCGATAAGTCAGAGGAATTTCCTAAGGAAATCCGATGAAAAAGAGCAAATTCAGTGTCTAGTGTAGCTAGAAACGCTACTTTTCCGTTTACATAAACAGCAAACACGTGCAGAAATCTGCAGAATGAGGCTTTTTGATAAGACACTTGACTGGCCTTTGGAAGGAGGAAAAAAGGCCCATTTAGCGCTTTAATATAAATTAATCGAAATTCTTTTTTGCACTATAAATCAGCCAGCGATTCCATATTTATTTTGTTTATTTCAGTGCGGTAATTTGGCTTGGTGAGGGGGCGTGATGTTGGTGGTTTCAGCAATTCTTTCGCATTTTCATAAACTGAATCATCCGTTTTAATTATTCTCTTTGTGTCCCTCGAACTAAAAGCGGCTTAGTCTAAATTGCCTTCAGTTAGGCAAAGAAAATCTTCCTCCGTTGTCGTAGTGCATGAGTAAATGGAGACTGATGGGGGCAAATGTGCATTCTGCACCACCCACCCCCTATTAGGGTTAAGGAACTTTGCCAACTCTTCATTTCCTCCTTTAAGACTCTGCTCGATGGATGGAAAAAGTGAAGAAAGGTGTTGGAAAACATGACACGATTATCCCACGTAAAGAGCAGCGGCGTCGCTGCAGTCGTCATCAACTCCCCGCGTCGCGACGCTTATAAAAACCAGAATGCTTTGGCATCGGTTTCCATTCAAACCCTCCTTTACCTGTTGCACACCTCGAGAGCCACTCTTTGCTCAATTGTTGTCCTTAAGAAGCCGAAGAGGAGGAAGGAAGAAGTGCGTGTTTCAACTCGTTGCGAAGTTTTCTAGTGTCCTTCCAGTGGTCAGTGTTGGCGCAAAGGTAAGAAGCTTCTTCACTTGATTTTGTTGGTTTTTTCAAAACATTTTTTTCATTTCGAAACGGAAATTTTTGCCCTCAAACACCCTCACGTGAATGTTTATTTATTTTTTGCCCCACAAAATCTACCCACATTTTCCCAACAATAAACCCCCAAACTCCCACCTTTAAGCAGCATATTACTTCCTATATGAAGCCTTTATTTGTGTCCACGAATGCAGCTTTGAAGTGGAGGAGGATGATGATTATTAACTCACCTACAGGGTGGTCTAAAGTTGGAATCGTGAATAATTTAATTAGGGCATAGTTACAAGAAAAACTCATAACTCTCTAATTGGTTTAAGTAGCAACTTGAAACTTTCACACAGTCAATTAGAAAGTCTTAGCTGAAACCCGAGAAAATTTTATTGGAAAGCGCGCAATGGGCGTTATTTCAGAGGCCTTTGAACTTGCCCCCGAAATCCAAGCAAATTGTAGCGCGGGCAAACAAAAAATCATAACTCTTCAACTCCTGAATCTAGCAACTGGAAATTTTGGGATAATAACACGCAAGGTTCTAGATAAAATCCGGGAAAACTTCAATAAAGTCCGAGTGTTTCCTGACTTTTCCGGAGATTTTGAATTTGACTTGAATTTTCAAAACCCGTCTAATTTTTCAAGGACGCAAAAAAATCTAAACTCTCAAACCAGTTAAAGCAGCCACTTGCAGTTCTGTCCCAGCATAAAGGAAGGTTTAAGCAACAAACCTTCAAACTTTCAAAAGAATCCCTGCGTCGACTGATTTTTGAGAATATTTTGAACTTGAGTTCGACTTATAAAAATCTGCTCATTTTGCCACGGCGGCAAACCAAAGTTCTAAGCCGGAAATTTAGTAGCAAGCAACTTGAAAATTTCGGAGCAATTTCAAGAAAGGCTTCGTTTTTAAAACAAGCAAACTGCATTAGAATCAGGGCTCTAGATGAATTTCCATAAGTTTTTGAACTTGCCCTTGCAATTGAAAACTCGCCCAACGCGCAGCTAAGCAAAAAATTGTAACTTCCAAGCCAGAGAGAGAAGCAACTTGAAATTTTGGCACAAGATTAAGGAAAGTTTGACCTTAAATACAGGTAGATCTAGTTTCAATTGGAGCTTTTGGTGCATTTTCCAGAGCTGTTAAACTCACACTTCAATTCAAGAATCCGCCAACGCGTAGTGCAGTTAATCAAAACAGTATAGCTTCCAAAGTAAGCCGAGATGCCAGTTGAAATTTCCGCACACACAACAGAAAGGCTTTGGGAAAAAAAGCACCAAATTTGATCAAAATATGAGGTGCAGCCGAGTGTTTGGAAGCCTTTGAACTTGTACCTGAAATTAAAGAAGTCTCTTAATTTGAAGTGCAGCTGTACAAAAATCATAACTCCAAAAGGGGCAGGAGTAGAAACTTCACATTTTGTCACATTGAAAAATGAGGTTTTATCTAGAAAGTGTTTAAATATTGTTACAATGCAAGCATTTGCTGAATTTTCAGGAAATTTTGAATTTAAGTTGCAAAAACCCGGTTTAATTGGAAGTGCAGCAAAAAAAATTTCAATGCCAATTTAGGGCAGATCCTAAGTTGAAACTTTGTCGTAGCAAAAAGGAAGGTTTCAGCCAAAAGCCGGCGAAACTTTAATCGAATTCCGGGCTTGGGTGATTTTTCAGAAAATTTTGAACTTACATCTCAGTTCAAAATCCTCGACAACCCGTGAAGGAAAAATCATCACTCTTAAACTAGTAAAAATGGCAACTGAAAATGCATACAGTTTTAGCTAAAAACAGGACAACTTTTGTTTGAATTACAGCAACTGCTGATTTTTTACGAGACTTTGAACTTGAATTGTGAAAATCCGCTCAATTTCCCTGAAAAATTGAAACTCGCAAATTAGGGCAAGTAGCAACTTGAAATGTCGACGCAACAAACAAGAAGGCTTTAGCCAAATTCCTATCAAAATTTTGTAGAATCCCGATCTCAACTGATTCTGCAGACCGTTTGAAGGTGCACTTGAAGTTTAAGATTGCTTATAACTCCTAAAGTGCAGCTAATAAAAAAATCACAACTGCCAAAGCGGCGCAGGCAACAACTTGAAATTTAGCGACAATGTAGAGGAAGATTTGGGCTAAACATTGCCAAAATTTGATAAAAATCTAGCCAAAACCTGATTATTAAGAAGCTCGTGAACATGCTCCTGGAATTCAACAATCCTGCAAATGTGAAGTGCAACTAAACAAATCATAACTTCCAAAATAGTTTGCAGAGCCACTTTAAATTGCGGGACACTCAACAGGAGGCTTCCAGCTAAAAACTGAACATATTTGGTTCAATTCGGAATAAGGGCTGATTTTTCAGAAAGTCTCCAACTGGCGGCTGATCAAGAATCTCCTAACTGGTAGCGAAGCTAAATAAAGGTTTCAAACTCCCAAACTAGACAAAGGAGCTTGTAGGAAACTTCAGAAAAACCGACAAAAACCAAAAATTCGCGTTAAAACAAGTTTTTCTCGATTCAATCACCAGCAAACAATCAAGGGACCATCAAGTTAATAGTAATTTGCGCCCTTTAAGTGATGCCGATTATCATTTCAATGGGAAATGGACAAACCGGAAAGGAACGTGTTCACATTTAAGCCCACGATTTTCCACACAATCCATCGACTATTATTATAATTTTGATTATTATTGATAAACAACGCGTAAGTGAATGGAAGTAATTGCATTTCTGCAATTACAGGAGCGATGCTAAATCGGACTACTCTTTATGTGAATGTTTAGAGCCATTAGGGCCGGTGGCATTCAATCGGGGGCCCAAACACACACACAAAAAAATCTAAAGCATATTTTAACGTCTTAATTAAGCCACAAAGAGTCCATTAAGCTAATTTGAATATTTCAACTTAGCGAGCTGTGAGAGTAAAGAAATTTATGCCTAATGCGTCCATTATACACTAAAAACTTTCATGCCCTCATCTCACCAGGGCCTTTAGATTATTGGGCTTAAAGCAGCCCTTTGTGCTTAATCTTACATGGGAAATGTGTTTTTCCGCAAAGAAACTGCTTGCATCTGCTTAGGCCGAATGCACTTGCAGTCGCCATAATTTCCATGTTTAAATCAGTAGGTAGTTTTTCTGGCCCTGAAGCAGCAACACTTCGATTCCAATGGAAATCTGCTGCTGCATTTGCACTTTTATAGGAAAACTTTTTATACATTCAACAGTTACTTCAAGCGACTTTAATTAATATTTAACTGCAGTTAAAAGTGACGGTTAATTGTCTAATAGCCAATAATGCATCTGGAGCATCTGCAAACATTGGCAAAGCTTTGATGGATCGGGACAAGCCAGCAAACAGTGGAAGAGCCGCTTATTAGCGCATAAATTCGCCATACTCCCATTCACGATTAAATGCTCATTTAATTCGGTTTTTTTGCTCGTTTCAGGGCTAAGTGATGACAAATTATCAGCTCATCATCGTAGCATCGCTGTTGGCCTTCTGTCTGTGCAGTCCGCAGAAGAAAAGCTGCATCCGGCCAGCCTCCGGCTTCAAACAGCTTGGCGAGGTTCAGGAGTATGTCAGATGCCTGAAGGAAATCACTGGATCGCCGCCGTAAGTTCCATTAATTCCCGGCAGTTTCAACTGCTTAAATTTTTCATCATTGAATTTTCCTAAAATATATCGGATTTAACAATCCGGAACGTAGCTTGCATCGGTCCTCTCACTCGCACCCCTAGGAGTCATGGTACCGGTACGATGGCCCGCGCCTTGCTACGTTCGAATTTGATACATTCACGGCTTAAAATATTTGAAGCCAAGTTTGGAAAAATTGAAATTTTTTTCACATTTTATAGAATGAGGGACGCGACGAAACCAAAACTAGTCAACAATCACGTGGAAACTATTGACAAATTGATGATTTTTTATTTTAAAAGTTTCAACTTTTTCTATTCTCAGCAGTTCATTACATTCATTACGCAATAATTTTTTGGTTGCTGCACAATGGTTTTCCACAAAGCCGTTGAAATCTCGCAATTTGTTGATATCTTTCTAAAAGCAATGTTGCCTAATCGGCTCTAAAAACTCCAATCCCTTCTTCAGAAAGCTGAAAATTAAAAACCAGTCGGCAAAAAAAATCCCAATTCGACTTTTTTGCAGATATGGAAAACGATCGCTACCAGAATCCAGTTCGTTCTTCCAAAAGCTGCATCCAATGGTACGAGAATATGACCCAGACTATCTGGAAGAGCTCCTCTATCAAGTGCTGAAGGCTGAAAGGGACGTTCAGGGATAAGCTGAAACGTTCTGCATTTTTTTCTTGTAAATTTCAACACTCATCTCTAAATCCTGTTTTCCCCGATTTTTTTTCTGGAAGCTAACTAACGTCCACTTGGCCCCAGGATGAAGAAAAGGTCCTCGTTCCGGGCTCCAAGTAGGCTTTAGCGTTTGGACTGGGGAAGTTTTCAGGGCAAAATAGGCTGGATGCCCTTAAAACGCCCCAAATTGCCGATAATTTCCGCTCCATCAGTATTACTTTTTGGTGATTTTTCCATCCCGTTTTCCTCATGATAAGCAACTGTACTGTAATTATTAATTAATAAGTTGGTGTCTATAGTGTGCCCATAGTGAATTAATAAAGTTGCATTTTGACATTTTTTTATTTCAATCGAATCACGTTGATTCACTTGATGGGAATGTCCAAAGTGGTGTTGAATCCCAAAGAACAACAACATTGAAAAGATGCGCACAAAGGAATCTCATTAACCCACATTTGTCATCAAATTAACAACAATAATTAATTTTGTATCATCGATCAAACCATTAAAGAGGCAATTGGTTGCCAAATGAAGACATTCACCTTTGTGGGTTCCGAAATGTCGTCCAAAAACAGTGCAGTGAAACAACTTGTCCAGCTCTGGTGTTGTTTCGTGTTTTCCAGCTCTGGAGCTTCAGGTAAATCTTCACTTTCGAATATCTATCAACGATTAATCCAGATTCTTGTCGATCGAATGGCATGTTTCCTCATCCCTCCGAATGTGGAAAATTCTTCAGTTGCACCCCTTGGGGCCCTGTGCTTATGCACTGTCCAGCCGGTCTTCACTTCAACCCCCAGTTGCACATTTGCGATTGGCCAAACCGGGCAGGCTGCATGGACAAGCAGCATTCGAGTAAGTGTCCGCAACTGCGCCCAGAATAGGGGTTTGAAGCTTTTTTCCAGCCCAGAAATGCCCGATTTATCGCCATCCTACCGACTGCGCCAAGTTTTACATCTGCGCCCCGCCAGGCCATCTGTTGCTTCACTGCCCGTTTGGTTTACTGTTCAATCCTGTAATATC